TTTGGTTGTCATATGATGGAAATACAGCGCAACACGTACGCATACGGTCTTTCTATTTTAAATCTTTCTGGCGTATAAGAAACGAAGCGTGTAACCGAGGACACTAGTTGATCAACTGATACTCTTTCCTGATTTGAATAGCAAAATGTCTCGTTAGTTGGCCTTTGACACATTCGCTTTTTTTATGGTATTAAAACATGTTAAAATACAGTACGATACGTTTAAATAAGGAAAACGATATTCTTTATAACTCTATTATCTCAATTTTATACCTTTTTTTCCTACTCGCTATTTTGTCGAACACCCTACGTAAAACATATGGAATTAAGATGCCTGGACTGTTGTGTAAAGCTGTTATTTGCCTAGTCTCCTCTCAGCCGTTCTTAGTGACGGGCTCCCTGTCCCCCTCCCCACAAAACTATTATTTGCCAGGCGTGCCAATAATTTTCGAGGTCAAGAATAGTGCATTTTGGGATAGCTGCGTAAAGAAAACCATGCATTGTTGTCCGGACAGTCGCAAAGGATTCTGGTGGTTTTGARTATCATATATACAGGATATACTACTYGTTGCTCTTCTCGTCGCTGTGTAAGGAACTTGTAAGGAACTTAAGGACAATGGAGATGAGGCCAGTGCACTTCTTAATGCTTTTCTTGACTTCTCTTTCTTACTTAAGTAAGTAAACGTCCGTGTAATGCATTAAGATCATAAATATTAGAAATTTCTGTTGCAATTTCAAAAATWTTTTTCAAGAATTAAGTAAGCGTTCATTGTGAATGCTAAAGTGCTTATGATCCACAGCTTTAGAACATTTAGGCCAGACACCAGGATCTAGCGAGTAGGTATTTTTGGACATCGTCGTAAAGCGCCAATCAAACTGTTAAAATTTGGACTTCGGTCAATAATATAGCCAGAATGACTTTGGTCTATAAAATAATAAATAATTGTTTTCGTCTCGTGGTATATGCTCTCTATTTCGGTCCTCACTTTTAGTCACAAGTTATTGTCATATTCCTTGTAGGTATGGTAGCCGGCAATCTTGGCGGCAATTTTATTCTTGGCTGCCAATCGCAAGGCTTTTTTGATAATTGCAACGCAGGATCAAGTTTGACTGCAAGTATCCCACTCACTGTGCTGCTGACTGGCTTGGGTGTGATGGCTCTTCTTAAACGAGTCGTCATATAAAACTTACATTATAAAGGCAAGAAATATAAAGAAAAAGCTGAAAAATTCCCAGCTATACATGTGATTCAAATAAGCATTATGTAGAGGTCCATTGCAGACTGCCTTGTTTTTAATATGCATTTTAATAAAAAAACAATAGTTCGTAAGTATTCACGTATTGTTAAGAGGCATTTTCCGAGGGCARGAGATCAGTTGGTCTAGCTATTAAAAATGAACCTTTTTAACAAATCAAATTAATCAATCCTCAGTAATTATYGAATTATTGTTATGATTCTAATTACGATAGAGGGCCGAACGATCAGTGATCAAATTGACAAGCAGAGAACTGGAAACAGTTAATATCAAGTCCTATCCGTTGGATGGATGAACAGTTGGAGGGCATGCGACGAGCCCTGGAGAATCATATTATTTTATATCTTCAATTCTTCCTCTTAGAAACTGTACAATCAATCTGTTGATTGCAGACCGAGTACTCCAATACATGTACTATACTCCTTAAAGAAAACAAGAAGTTGAGCTAAGACATGACGTGGCTCTACAATATCCATCAGGTGAGCAATGACAGACAAAATCTTGGCAAAGACCCACCAGTTTTACTGTCCCACAAAGGTCAAGCATGTAATTTACCACAACTATTTTCAAAGCATTGAGATTGAGGTCAGATAAAAGACTGCCATTACTTCTGTGTCTTAAAACTTCGTCATAACGAAGCAGATAGTCCTGCTATTRTGATTGTTTCTCTATACTAGTTTTACTTTTAGAAGTGCTCGAATATAATCACGGAAATAAACAGGCTCACTTCTGATTAGTCTACAAAATTTTCCTCCAGATGTTAAAAATCATAATGAAACTTGTTCCATCGAGTTGATATATTTTTTAACTTCATTAAATGTACAAAGTTCTTTTTAACCGGGTTTTAACAAATCCGAAAAGYTTTCATGAAAAATGTAAGGGGYAAAATTGGGTAAAATGATGATACATAGGCAGCCCACCGCTGTCATGATTTCAATGGTCGGGCTGCCTGTGGAGGGTACAACAATTTTGAATATTTCAATGATTAAATTGACTCTGTACATTTCATCTTCGTTTTTAAATTCAACTTCATTATAAACACATAATCGTTTCAAAACGCTTCAAAAATAAGTCCAGTCTTTAAGCAGTTCTTCTTGTGCAAATCAACTCACTTTCAAGAGTTCTTTGGAGGTTCCCAAGACTCAATCTTTGGTTTTGTTGTACTGTAAGGAACATATTCTTGCTTGGTTCCCGAATAATTCCTTTCATGATCCAAAAGAAACTTTCTCTGTACAGGTTTTACTGCGACTGGAGTATCATCAGTCATGTAATGCAGCCAACGATGCCATTCCGCTGGAACTTGCGTTGCATCGTACTCCATGCGACCCGCATAYGGGTAAACTACGTAGCGATTTCGACCGTAAAAATACCAGTCATTTTGGTAATATTTATTCCCATACTTGTCCTCTCCAACACATGTTCCTATTCTYGCTGTTCCCTCTCTAAGAAAACGCCAAAAGGCACCTTGAACACCTCCAATTTTTCCCACAAAATCAAGAGACTTCTTTATTTTCGACATGGTTGGAAACAAAATGGCCGACTGTTATCGTCTGGTTGGTCAGCGGCATTGCTTCTCGTAGTCACGTCGACAATTGTCGGAMAGATATCGGGTAARGTTAAGAATTAGCGAAAGCTYCACGAGTGATGCAAATTAGTTTAGTTCCCAGTCTTCTCTCAGTTGGGAAATGCATATGGCGGCAGCATGGACGTAAGAAATGTTTAGAAAGTAAAAAGTAAGAGAAGATCATCTCAGATGCATTAGATCATTATCAATTTACAGTGATTAGGAAGTAGAAGATCTAGAAACTCAATATGGTAGGTTATTTTTTGCGCATATCAATATCAAAGTGTATTTTGAAACAAACTTTACAGTACGTGTATGTCAACTTGGAAACTCAAAGCTTATGTAGCTCGAGTTGTAACTTTTAACGTTTCATCTTTGCCTTTTCTTTCCTCAGGCTCGAAACGCAGAAAAAGCCATGTAAGTATGATTTATATTGGCGATCAATTACATTTTAAAGCTTCACAGCTGAAAATGTGCTATTTTTGATAGTTTACCCAATCCAATTTTATAACCTTTATTCATATCAATATTTGTTAGGACCATGCTATCAAGATGGTATGATGTCAAAAGGAAAGAAGCAGGAAAAGGCATACCAGTAAGAACTGTTGAATGGTTGTCTATAATATGGAAATAGACAGYGTATAGTGTATCAAAATACTTTTTRYAAATTTAKTRCRAATGGCTGAGTGATATTGACATTCATTCATTTGTATTTCCTCAGGAAAGACGACCATTTTTAGCAACAGAATGTGACAATTTACAAGAAGCTGAAAAGTGGAGGCACCAGGTTATTGAATGTTTTCTAAATATCAATTCATACAATTAATGTTTCACTGAATAATACATTACTGTACATGCAAAACTGTACTTGTGATAAAATTTTACAGAAAATTAATGATAATGAAAGTTTTGATTAAATTTTACAGATCATTAGAGAAGTCGCCAAGAAGGTTGCACAGATACAAAATGGTATTGAATGTTTGAAGGCTTTCTCATGTTTTAGGAAGGATTTYGTAWGACAGTTCAAAAATCACCATGTACCATATSATAAAATGGCAGCTGAGTTCATTACATGTATGATTCCAAGACTCATTATTGTTTTTATTTATAGCTGGTCTTGGTGAGTTTCGTATACGTGATCTCAATGATGARATCAACAAACTTTTAAGAGAGAAAAGACACTGGGAAGATAGAATAGTTGAACTTGGTGGTCCTAACTATAAAGTAAGTAAATTGAGTTAACCCACAAACCATCTGYAGCAGAATTAAATTGATGATATATGATTACAGCTGTTATTTCATTTTGACACTTCCTCTGACTGATATTTTAATTTTAGAAAATTGGTCCAAAGATGTTAGACCATGAAGGAAAAGAAGTTCCTGGCAACAGAG